GCTTCAGGGTTCCCAATGAACTCCCTGTGGGGCGCCCTGGGTTCATAAGCTGCACAAAGTGGGGTACAAGATGCCTGAACACTGATGGGCAGAGGAGGGACCAGGCCAGCTTCTGAGACTACTGTTCTAGTCTCCCAGGCCAGGGAGGGGTCACACCCAGGCTGGGAGTGAGACCTCCAACAACAGGACAGGAAACAGGCAGCTGGGGGAGAGGCAGGACTGGGCCCTGCCCAGAATGGGGGGCCTCAGCTACGGGCCTCACTCCTAGGACAGCCCCTCCGGGCAGTCTCAGACTGGCCCTGCCATGTTCCCCGACACCTGGCATGCCCCAGGGAGGGGTCCTTCCTTACCTGGGGTCAGCGTCAGGCAGCAGCGGCTTTGGCCGCCACGGGGCTGGGCGCTCGGAGTGGTGCGGCAGACATCTGAGTGTGGGCCTGCTGAGCGGGCCGCGGGAGAAGCAGCAGCCCCGCCCGAAATGCCCTCCTCTGGCTGTGGTTCCCTCCTCGGGCTCCCTCCTGCTTTTTTCTGCACAGGATCAGGGCCTGGGGCTGGTGGTGTGTCCCCAGAAAAGTTTAACTCCGGAAAACAGGAGGAAACAGCAGGATGGAACTTGTATGCCAGGCAATGGAAAACATCCCCCACGCTAGGCAGAGGAGGGCGGGTGGAGGGGGCGGTGCGAGAAGAGAGGAAGTTGGGGCAGCCGGTTCGGTTTTCGGCCTGCGCCTGGCCCTGCCTGCCTTCCTAAGCAGAGCTGCCCCAGGGGCCAGCCTGGGTGCTCCACACCAGTGGGACCGGCTCAGGGGCCAGGCAGGGAGCCTTCGGGAGAGCTGGCCTGGGCCTGCCCTGCAGGTCAGTTTTAGGGCAGCTCCCGTACTTGCCACCCCGCTAAACAGAACCTTTAGGAGAGAGATGCCATCGGACTGATGCTGACCTATAGCAGGATATGCAAGGCTAGGCCTGCCCGCCCCGCATCCTATTCTGGCCCTTCTCCCTCAGAGCCATCCAGCCACTGCCTAGATAACTAACTCCTCCCCTAGCTCTGGGCTCTACTGTCTAGAATTTAGCTAACTCCCCAGGCATTGCTTTAAATCTCAGACAACATGGAGTTGTCCATGTGCAGGAGTGAAGGGAAAGGGACCAGAGTTTATTTTTCAGTTCCGACCATGTGCCAAACATGGTTCCAGATTCTTCCTCAAAAGTTATCTCCCTTTATCCTCACTGTAATCCTGAAATGCAGATCTTTTAATATCCATTTTGCAGATAGGCACACTGAGGCTCAGAGGAGTTGCCATGGGTCCTACAGCTCTAGTATTCGAACCCAGGTCTACCTGACCCAAAGCTTTACTCTTTTTTTCACATTTGTACTTTCCAGTACCTCTGGGCTGCCTTTTCCCACAAAGCCCTGCACCACCAACACATATCTGGTCTTTTCTCATCTGAATCCTCCCCGCATTCAGGGCCTAGGTCAAGTCCCATGTCCTGCAGGAGCCCTCCAGCCCACCTAGGCCTACAAGGATGGCCCTCCTCCCAAATAATGAAAGGGAGGGAGATGGGGGATGGCAGATGTGGGAATAAAGGGAAGGGTGCATAAGGAAGAATGGAAATCATTAAAACAATGTCGTAAGGATCAAGATCAAAGTGAATTCTAGGATGAGTGGGATTACATCCCAAAGATATCTGAGCGGGTAAGAAGCCCACCTCTTGGCCCTGTTTCCCGCTCCTTGACAAAGATAGCTCCAGTTCCTGATGTCCCCCACCCCCACTCCTTATGTCCAGGGAAAGGAGGAGGTTAAGCCTGCAGGCTCAGAAATCAACAAACATGTCAGCCAGCGCATACTGAGTTCCTACCATGTGCCATGTGCTTTATAAACCACTCATTTAATGCTCACAACAACCCCATGAGGTAGGTGCCCTCATCCCATTGAACAGATGAGGAAACTGAGGCACAGAAAATAAAGCAACTGACCCAAGGGACACAGTTTGTAATGGTGGAGCCAGCATGTAATCCAGTTCTGTCTCACTGGAGCCTGGAGCTGTTTCCAGTCCAGGCAACTCTCCTCCCACCTCTCTCCCCTCATCCTTACCTCAGGGTGGAGCCTTTTAGCACTTTAGAGTCTCCACCCCAGGGGGTGGGGCCTTTGAGAAAATGAGAAGGCTTGAGCTTCTGTTTCTAACTGCTCAGGCCCTGGGGATGGTCTAATTTCCTCCATGACCTGGATGTGAGGGAGGTATTAGGGTGGTCAGTAAGAGGACTAAATGTGTACCGCCCCCCCCCCAAAAAAACCATATGTTGAATCCTAATCTTCAAAGGTGATGCTCTTAGGAGGTGATGCTGTTAGGAGGTAAGGCCTTTGAGGGAGGTACTTCATTTGTGAGGGTAGATCCCTCATGAATGGAATTAGTGCCCTCATACAAAAGGCTCCAGAGAGATGCCTAGCCCCTTCTGCCACATGAGGACACAGTGAGAAGGCATAGGCTATGAACCAGGAAGCGGGCCTTCACCAGCACCTGACCACGCCAGCGCCATGGTCTTGGACTTCCAGCCTCCGGAACTGAGAAATTAATTTCCATTGTCTATAACCTATCCAATCTGTGGTATTTTGTTATAGCAGCCCCCCAATGGACTAAGGTGGGAGGCCTCTTGTGCTTGGTGCTAAATAAACGCGCAGTCCACCGTGACAATTGTTGAGTCATCTCCGTGGTGACCACACACCCTGGCTTCTCCTGAGTGGACCTAGCTTCTGGCATCTTACCACCTGTCACCTGTCACACCAGGTGAGGCTGGGTGTCATGTCCTTTTGGCCCACCTTGCCCACTCAGCCTCAGTTAGGACACTGGCCAAAATCAGAGGACTCCTGCATCATGAGATGTCTGGATGCCCTTTCACTCCCACAGTCTTGAGCATACGAGAACAAAGGTTCTAAAAAGTTGCAGACGAGTGAATGCTGGGGCAAGGATGTCTGTAGAACCTGAGTGGAGATAGTGGACCAGGGATGAAGTAGCCTGGGAGGGGCTGGGCAGGTGGGAGCTGGTCCTCTCCAAGCCAGTTTTGAACCCTTCCAACTAATACTGCTCATGGCTTCACTGCCCCAGGGCCACCCAGGGCAGTGTCATAGCTGTAGGAGTGAGGCCCCCTTCCAGCTCCAAATTTCCTGCCTCGAATGAGCAGGCGATTGGCCGGGCATGTAGGTCACTCCAGGGGCCTACCGCCCAGCACCTACAGCCTTCTTTTTTCCATCTGGTTTGGGGGGCAGAGGGGCTGTGGACTCAGACCACCATTCTTGTCTCTTCACCTGGCCACAGCTCACACTTTGCTAAAGTAGGTGGCCACCTCCTTGCGTGGAGGCCGGGGCCCACCCCCAGCCCAGCCATTGCCCATCAGCGACTCCTCCTGGCCCAGCCTCAGTGGAGGTTTGCATTCGTGCCAGCTCATGAGCAACCTGTTCATGGTGCCTTGATCGGTGATGCCTCGCAGCTTCTCCTTGTCCTCCTCGGCGCTGTCGGTAGCTGGGGCAGCTGAGCTGGCAGGGGCTGTAGCCAGCGCCCCGTGGGTGTGACCCAGCTCTAGGTCATGGTTCATGGCCTCGAAGAACTGCTGGATACAGACCTTGGCGAAGGCCTTGGCGTGCTCTGTGCACGTCTCATCGAAGAGCTTGCGCTCGATATCTATGTAGTGAGACCAGTACTTGCTTTTGAGGAAGGCGGCCTGAGTAAAGCAGGGTCGTACAGAGCGCACGACAAATGCCAGCAGTGTGGTCAGCAGCACGAAGGACCAGCCCAGTGCCTGCGGGGGAGAGAGGAGAGAGTCAGTTGGGCACTGCCCTCCAGCCTCCCAAGCCTGCCAGACCCCACAAAGTACTCTCTGTGTCAGGGCCTCTAGGGAAACGAGCACTGACTGGGCAAGTGATTTGGCCTCTTGGCCTCTGTTTCCATGTCTGTAAAACAGGCATAGACATACCCATTTCATGGAAACGAGATCATGTAAAATGCCCCTGTGTAGGCCTGGCACTCACCGCACAGGAGTTAACTGGGCGGACCCTGGAGTTATAGGCTGCTTGGATTTCGATCTTGTCTCCACTACTTACTGGTTGACCGGGAACAAGGTACCTGATTTCTCTGTGCCTCAGTCTCCCCACCTATAAAATGGGGCTGGTGATAGTACCTATCTCATAGGATTGTTGTGAGGACTAAATGTAATATTAAACTTAGCACAGTGCCTGGCACATAGTTAGTGTTCAGCAAATGTTAGCCACTATAATTATGCCAACAGGCCCTCACCATCCATGCCTCTTCCTTCAGGAAGCCTTCCTTGACCTCCCCAGGCCACAGTGACCATTCCTCCTCTGAGTTCTGTATTGTTCCATTGGCTCCTGATATTGCCTGCCATTCAGTCACCAGCACTGAGTGCCTCCTCCGCGTGGGCTCTGAGCTGGGCCCTCGGGGGTCCCAGAGAAAAATCAGATAATCTCTCAAACTCTGTGCTGAAGAGCAACGGATGCTTAGGTGCTGTCTCTGTTCTGCCAGTAACTCTCCGTGGGGCATGGGGTGGGATGCTCCCTTAACCTCCACTTCAGGGGCAGCCCCCAGCTGCACAAAGAAGCGTTTGGACAGATCAGAAGGAGCAGGCAGAGCAAACCCAAATGCCTATAACTGGCCTGGTGGGTAACAGCAGAACAAACATCAAGTGGAGAGCCGTAGAGCATGTGCTTAGTCTGGCACCGGGAGGGGGCGGTGCGCCTCCCCCGCAAGGAAATGAAGGAGTTGGATCTCCTGATGTTTCAAGGAAAGCTGGAAATCCACTTTTTACGTGAAAATTTCTGTTTTTTAGATGATGCCAACTAATCCTAAAATTGAATTTTGAATTCATCCTCTGAAGGCCAAATGAAACATACACGCCAGGCAGCCTGTCCTCTGGGGGCCCTTTTAGCGTATGGTGCGATGGTTAAGATCAGGTGGAGGGACAGCTGCCCCAAGCCCTGAAGCCTAGAATGACAGGACAAGCGCCCAAAGGAGAGGAGATACAGATGTGGGAGGGAAGCGGGGTTTGGATCAGACAGACATTCGAAGTGCAAGATTCCCATGGGGCATCTGGTGGTGATGCCGGCCTCCAGGAGAGAGTTCTGGGCTGGAGAAGGGGAGCTCGGATGTCTCAACCTGCCACAGTGTACATGTTTCTCTGCCCTTGCAGTGCAGGCCCAGCCCTGCCCTCTCCCCTGACAGACCCTGGTCCGTGGGCTACAAGGGCATGCTGCCTAGGTCATCCCCCCCGCCCTACACCGCTATGACTGCAGGGGAAGCCTGAGGGGCCCGGTGGGTCTGCTTCTGAAAGGCAGAGGATGTGGGAGCCGGGCTGCGGAGGACCCAAGCTTTGGATTTCCCTTCGGAGGGCCCTTCCACCCTGCCCTTAGGGCACATCCCAACAGCTCATCTCCCTCATCTGAGCCCTCCTTTCCAGGGGCACCTGGACCCTCAGTTCTCATTCCCTGAGCAGGGAGACACCAGCTGAGGGCATTTGCCAGGGAAATGTACCCAAATGGCCCAGCTGCCTACAGGCCTCACCACTGCCCCAACCTGGAAGAGGAAAAAGATGCAAATTCCCAGGGAGCTCAGGACAGAGAATGTGGGCTGGCTGTCTGAGCTGTTAGGTCTGCTCTGGGGACCTGAGGAAGGGGCACAAGCCTCTGGACTGTGGTAGTCTTAGCACTTCCCCTAGGGTGTCTCAATCTTGATGAAGACATGGTCTTCAGATGTCCCTTCCTCTGCTGGGAAAATGTGCCCCTGCCCCACAGACTTCTGTCTGAGGGTGAGCCCCAGTCTTTTGGAGAAACATGACTGTTTCTGAGTGATTTTGAGAGGTTGGGGGATCAGGCCCTGCTAGCGGTCCCCGGTCTATGCTGGGAGACCCAGCCCAAGGCCATCCGGCTCCCTCACCTGGGAGATGCAGCGCAGGTAACGCACGGCTACCTCTCGGGCCAGCAGCCAGTCCCCATCATAGATCTCTGGGCAAGGCACCCGGGCCAGCAGGCGGGCAAGCTCGGACGGAGGCAAGCCAGGCGCCAGGCTGCCATTGCCTAGCACGGTCACGGGCACAGCAGTGCAGAAGGCACAGAGGAAGCATTTGCCATCAAGCAGTGTGACGGCCACCCAGACGACAGGTGCGATGAGGGCGCGCTGGGCCATGGAGCAGAACATGTAGCGCAGCACGGCGGGGTCCTTGGCCCGGCGTCCCGGTGGCCGCTTCCACTCCTCGGCCAGCATGGACACGTTGTTGTTCAGGACCAGGCCGAGCAGAAAGAGCACCAGGGGCGGAGCCAGCAGGATGCCGGCACTGTAGGCTGCATTGTAGCCGGGCAGGCAGGGGCAATTGAAATCGAAGGACGAGTATATCTGGGCGCTGGCCAGGGCCATGATGCCGCAGATGCCATTCATGAAGGACTCCTGGTTGGACTGCAGGAACTGGAAGACCATCCGGAACTTGTCCATCATGCCCCCCACGGGGCCTGGTGGCCTCCCCCCACCTCACCTCTGCCTCAGGGATGGCCCCTGTGGCCCGCTTTGCCTACTCGGTGCCCACTTCATAGCTGAGATGGGCAGAGTTCAGGGCAGTGGCCGAGGTCACTGTCTCTTTGAGGAGCCTTCAAGTCAGGTGTTAGCCAAGAGGGGCAGGCTGGCCAATCCTGTGTGTATAGCCAGGGTTCTGCCCCTCCCCTCCCCACCCATCCCTGGCTCCTCTCTCTCCACAGCCACCTCCGGCACTGAGAAACCACCAGGGCCACACCTGATGGGGACCAGTTCTCTGTGGGTGTGGGAGGAAGGCAGGGAGGCTCAGACGTAGGCTGGAAAGGCACAGTCTCCAGCAAGGTTGGAATTTGGTTGAATCCAATGCTGCTGCAGAGACCTGAGCTTCTGAACCTTGTCCCCTGGGCTCCCAGGAAGCAGTCACCCTCCTTCTGCCCTTCCCACTGGGTCTCTCCTTCATGCTGTATCAGAGTCTAACTGATGACTCCTCCGTCAGTTCGGACAATGATGGTACGATGATGCAATGATGGCAGTGATAGCAGTGGCCGTAAAGGGGGAGATAATGGTGGTGGGGGGGATGGTGCTGATGGAGGCGAAGGCGATAGTGGTTCTGATGGCAGTGATGATGGTGGTGACGGTGGTGGTGACGGTGGTGGTGATGGCAATAACGACCGTGATGGTGATGGTGCTGATGACAGGGCATTTGGTGGTGGTGGTGGTGACAGCAGTTATAATAGTGACATTTGTAGTGATATTGGTCACAGCGGAGATGGCTGTGGTGGTGGCGGTGGTGGAGATAGTGCTAAGGCGTCATGGCATAGAGTAAAAAGCCCTGAATTGGGAGTCAGATTTGGATCTGAGAGGTTACTGGGTCCCCTCCCTACAGGACAGGGAGCTGTATATCCTGTCAGCACAATGCAGATGCTTTTATGTCTGGTTTGCTGTGTCTCTGTGGGTGTATCTGTGTGTTTGTAGCTTGTGGATGAAAACCCTTTCCTGGCTCCGCCTCCTACCTCTGCTCCCCTGGATCAAAAAATAAAGGGGTGGGACAGTGGGTTATTATGCCTGGACCTTGGGCCTCCAGAGTGTCTTCCAGAACCAGGTCCCGGCCCCTTCTACCAAAGTGGGGAGGAGCTTAAAGGGCTCTCTTTGATGCCCACCAGTTCTCCCAGAAGAGCAGGTCAGACACAGCTCCAACCAGATGGCTCCTGTCTGGGGTGAGAGGGCGGGGCTGGGGCTGACACGGAGCAAGAGCCTGAACAGGATGGCTTCACGGGGCCCGCAGAACTGTGTCCTTGTGTATATGTGCTTCTGCGTGTGTGTGTATAACCACGTTAGTGGTCTGTGTGTCTCTGTATGACCAACAAGAACTGGCATTGACCAAGGCTTCCCTGGGTCAGGCCACTTTACATGCATCGCCTCATGTAATCCTCATACAACCCTATGGGATAGATGCTATTGTCCCTCATTTTACAGAGCTGGGGACTGAGGCTCAGCGAGCTTGGGTTACTAGCTAAAGGTTACACACTTATAGGTAGAGGAGTGGAATTTGAAACCAGGCTAGGTAGGAGTGGAGGTAGAGAAGGGGGCGAGGAATTATATTCTTATCTTTCTCTTTCTGCTGAATGGGGTTTTCCTGTTCTACTACTCTGGGTAGAAGAAACACTAGTATGTCAAAAATAGAATACGGGTGGCAAAAGATATTGCTTCCTTCAGCCCTCAGGCTGTGCTTGGGGAAAATGGAGCCCCTAGGCTGGTGACCTCTGGAGGACCATCGTTAAGGGTTCCTGAAGGGGTACCCAGAGGTGGAAAGCCAGATGAGGGAGATCCAGCCAAGGACATCTACCGCAGCATCGATGTGCATGGCTAACAAGGAGTCTAAGCTATGGCAGAGCCTGGCACGCAGTCCTGGGTGTGGACTGGGTGGGTGGTGCAGGAGCCCAGGAAGAGTGTAGCTCCAGGGGGCCTCCTGGAATCTCTGTCTTTTATAGTGGACGCTGTTTATAGCTGATGTGCCCTTTTAGTGATGCCCAAGCTGGCTGAAGGGTGCCTGCTCTAACCACATAGACTCTGTCCACAAATTCTAACTTCAATGTTATTTTAAAATACTTGATATAAAAGTTTTGATTGACTTCTAAACTTATATTCTCTTTCTCACAAGAATTTTAGTTACAGTTATTGAAAGTAAAGTATGAATGCTGGAGTCTTTACATACCATTCAGACTGTTGTAAATTTTTGAGTGGTCGTAAAAATTAGTTTTCAATTTATCACCTTCTTGGGTCAGGTCTTCTGTGGGTGATATTTATCAGATATTTGAAGAGATCGTAATTAAAGAGTCTTGAGGGGGTAGGTGGTGGGTGAAGGTGGTCGAAAGGCACAAACTTCCAGTTATAAAGTAAACAAGTCTCAGGATATAATGTATAGCATAGTAACTTTAGTTAATAACACTATTGTATATTTTTAAGTTGCTAAGACAGTAAATCGTAAAAGTTCTCCTTATAAGAAAAATGTGTAACTATGTGCAGTGATGGATGTTAACTAAACTTATGCTGGCGATGGTTTCACGATATAAACATATATCGAATCATCATGTCGTACACCTGAAACTAATACAATCTTATATGTCAATTATATCTCAAATTTTTTTTTTAAAGAGCCTTATATAGGATCTGCTAGTGGGCATTTCAAAATCTGATGTTAAAAAGTTGTGCTCACCAAAGCAAGCTCAGTTTCTCATTTTAAGAAGTCTGAGAGATTTCATTTGGATGTTTTATTCCAGTTCAGTATTGAATATCTTTCCTAATACTTTGTACTAAATCTTTCTTATCTTAATTCTGAAAGATAAAAAAAGATGTAATCATTTTTCCACCAGGGCCTATATAGATGTCTCCAAATCCCTTCCGTTTACCCTGGTATCATGTGTCAATCAATATCTCATATACAGGGATGTGGAGAAAGTTAGGAACCTCTGTCTCTGAAGGCTGAGGGCCAGGGGCAGGTGCTCTGTGGGGGTGGCCTCTTGAGCAGTGGCTGAGGTCAGAGCTGTGTCAGCTACCATAGAAAGGACACAGGCTGCATTGGGGAGATTTCTTAGCTATCACCCCTTTACTTGTGTTGTCCTGGAATGCCGCACTCTGCCCTCGCTCTGCCCACCCAAATCCATTTAAAAGCCTGCTCATTTCATTTGCTCAATGTTTTTTTTTTCACTGCACAGTCAAGTGTTTTCTTAGCAAGAAATCATGTCACAGAGTGGATAAGAGCAACCTAACCAATGACCTGGGTTCACATTTCAACCCTGCCACATACCAATAAAGGACCTTGAGCAAGTAAGTAATTTAACCTCTGAATGCCACAGTCTTTGAATCTGTAAAATGGGGGGAATAAAAGAGCTTACCTTTCAGGTTGTCATGACAATTCAATGAGATGATGCAGGTAAAGAGTTTAGCTCAGTGCCAGGACCACAGTGAGATCACAGGAAATGATCATTATAATAATGATAATCTCTTCACCTGAGCTGTAGTAATTCACTTTGAAAATTGTGTTAGTTTCCTATTGCTGCTGTGGAAAAAAAATCACCACAAACTTAGTGGTTTAAAACAACACAAATTTATTCTTATAGTTCTAGGGGTCAGGAGTCTGAAGTGAGTCTCAATGGGCTAAAGACCAAGGAGTTGGCAACCTGTGTTCCTTTTGGAGGTTCCAAGGGAGAATCTATTTCCTGGCCTTTTCCAACTTCTAGAAGATACCCACATTTTCTGGCTCATGGCCCCGCCTCTGCTTCACTCCAATCTCTGCTTCTGTCATTACATCTTCCCTGACTCTGACCCTCCTGCTTCTCTCTTACAAAGACACTTGTGATTACATGGGGTCTACCTGGATTACTCCGAATATTCTCCCCATCTTCAGATCCTTAACGTAATCACACCTGCAAAGTCACTTCTGGAGGTAACATATTCACAGATTCCGGAGATGAGGAAGTGGACATTGGGGCTCATTATTCTACTACAGGAGGGGTCTTTGGTAGTGCCTTTAGCAGAGCTTTCTGTCTTCTCCACCTCTCCCCTCGGATTCCTAGAGCACGGCTGGGTGTAGATGGGAAGCAGAGTGTCACGACCCTGCTCAAACTTTTTGATGCATTGGTGGCAAACACCCACAGCCACCACTGTGTAACAAACACGGGGCCCTTTTGCCTCCTGCTCTCAGGAGTGTTGTTCTGGCACTCACCCCAGTGCTGGAGGAGTTAAATGTCATGCAAAGCAGCATGCAAAGGGGGCCTCTAAGGAGCGGGTGCTGTACCTTTAGGAAAATGCCCAATTTGCACAAAAGAGCACTAGTTTATGGTACTCAAGTGGGCATTGCCTTCAACCAGCGGCTGTGGGAGCACCTAGAGAACAGGGAAGTGGAAGAGGCAGCAGCTATCAGTGAGATGTGGCTGCCAAGGCAGCTCAAGTTCTATCAGGCTGTATTACCAGAGGTATGAGGTCTTTATCTAGGAAGGATATAATGCTATTCTCTTCTGCATCGGCCGAAACTGTACTGGAGGTTGCACGTTGTGGCAAAACACAGCAGTGCTCACCAAATATTCCATATGCTTCCTTATAATTCCCAGCTTCTGTTCCAGGTAGGTTGAGGCCATGGGACTGAGTTCTGGCGTAGAAGCCCCCAGCTCTCACCACTGTCCCTGCTCTTTCTCATCCCTGCTTCCCGGACCAGGACACCAGTGCAACACCCATCCCCGTCAGCACTCACCTCTACATTCCAAAGGCTGCTTGCGGCACACTGGGAACCCTTGGCCTAAGGTTGGCTGGAGGTGCCACAGTTAGTGCCCCAACCAGGGACAGTCGGAGACTGGTAACAAACCCTCTCCCCTGAGTTAGGATGCCTCAGGGACACGGGTCCCCAGAGCTGCCCACAGCAGTGACTGGCTGGCTCCACACCCTTTACTGGCTTTCTTCCCTTTCTGGTATCACTTCCCCTGATCCTGCCTGGTGTTTCCTGGAAATGACTTCTATATAAATCACTCACTCACTTCCTTGTCTCAGGATCTGGGGAACACAATGTGCCTTCATGCAGCATCCCAAAATGGGGGAGCTCCCATCAGCTGGGTTCGCAAGTGGCCAGAGGAGTCCCTCTCTTCCCAACCCCCCTCCCCTGTTTACCTGCCTCAGATTTTGCCTGAGTGAGAAATATATCTTTGTTGTGTTGCTAAGGCACTGACATTTTGTTTTATTTTTATATCTGGGTCTAATCTGACTAGTATAGGGCGGACTGCTCTATGCGTGACATTTTAAGCAGGACATTGACAAACAAGAGCACCCTGAGTCCATTCTACCTCCTAAGTACCGCTAATCTGCCTTTTCCCTCCATCTCTACCCTAATCTAGTTCCTATCAGCTCTTTGGTCCTTCTGTGATTCACACTGCCCCCTTAACAAGCCACTCCAAGGCTGCAGCCAGTGTGATCTTTTAAAAGTGGACATTTGATTAAATTACTACATACATAATTCCCTTCAATGACGGAAGTCCAAAAGCCTTATTGGGGCCGATATGGCTGTGTGAGAGCTGGCCCCGGGACCTCTCTCCTTCCAGTGTCTACTCTCCGGCTCCCTCATCTGCTTTCAGTTCCTCAAACAGAATAAATCCCTTTCCATCTCAGGACCTTTGCACATGCTTTACGCATTCCCGGAATTCTTCCCCGATTCCTCACCTGAGAAATTTTGGTTCATCTTTAAGATCTCAGCTTAGTGGTCGGTCCCTTCTTTAGATAAGTTCCCGAACCCTCAGCTTAGAAAAGTCCTGCTGATACAGACTTGCGTAGCCCCCTGGATATACCTCCCCATTCACAGCACTGATTACAAATTTAATTATTTGTTTTGAATGGGTATGTTTATATAATATCTGGGGCTCCCATGGGACAGTAAAGGATGAAGGTCCACATCTGTTTTGTTCACTGCTGTGTTTCCAATGCCGAGCACAGTGTGACTGGTACATAGATGCTCAATTAATAAATAATGAATTAATGAATATTCAGATCAGTGAATAGAGGGAAGAAGGAATCCTTGGACCTAGATAAATTTGTGAGGAGGCAGGAATTCAGACACATGTAGGAAACAGCCCGTGGTAGTCTGGCTCTGAGCTTGCTTCCACGTTGGGTCCTGGGAAGAGCAGCTCCTCCTTCATGTGGGTGGGGGTGGGAAGATGGGTGGGCCGGCAGGGCTGGTGCATGTTCAAAGCTCCCTGCCATGGCAACGACCACCGGCAGACCAATGTCATATCTGCTCTGCCAACATTTGCCTCCCCAGACTATCTCTCATTGCTCTTCCCTAGACCCTTAGGGACACTCTCCCCATCCAACAGCCCCTTCTGCCCTCCCCCTGTTAGAGATGATCAAGTAG